CAGTGCCCCCCCCACCCCTGCAACATCTTAGCTGAGGTGTTCAGTCTCTGCCCTAGAGGTAGCTCAGGCCCCACCAACAGTACAGCTGCATTAACACTACATCTCTCAGGCTAACCAGACCAGCTTCTCAGCAGAGCTCATTAGCACCCGCCCCCCCCCAAAAAAAATGAAAGGAGTTGGGGCACAGTATAAATTGTATGGCCACCGATTCTGGAGGAGGTACGCTCACAGCTCAGTATCCCCATGCAGTGTTGGGTTGCATCCTATGCACATGCCCTAAAAACAGGAGCTCTTCCCAGGCAACCTAAAGCACCAGCCACGTCAGGTCAGGGGGTTGCAGCTGTTTGCCTTCCTCCATCCCACAGTCTGGCAACTGTATGAGCCAGCCATGCGCATGCTGAGGCTTGGGCTGCAGCATGTGAGCCCCCTTCAGTTCCCTGCTGCCCTATCCTGCAAGGTCGCCAGCCTCAGCCTGCTGCCTGCCTCCCCCCTGCCCCTAGCTCTGCCAAAAGCAAGCCAAGGAGCACTTGGCCTTCACCCATCTGGTGCATCCAGATTGATGGCACAGACACTTCACCCATGTTCAACACCTGGATTTCACACCAGTCCCCTTTCCAGTGCTTCCTTTAGCCTTCTCTTTCCAAAGCAGTCGCCATGCATGAGTCTTCCTGATGTTTCATGTCTCCAGTGCCTAAGGCTGGAGTGAAATGTCTTGAGCAGCCTGACTTGGGGACGGGGTGAGGGGGAGAGTCTATGGAGAGTCCTTTGGCTTTTGGGAGCCCTGGACTGCAAGCACATAAGAAAAGGAAACCTGCTTTTGCTAAGGACCAGCACTGGTAAAATGCTCTAGCCCCATAAGCCACCTGTTCCACAGCGAAGTCTGCACCAGGCAAAGATGAACCTAATCCTCTTTGCTCTGCTCAGTCACACAGCGCCCAGCTCTGACGGTAAGTGTACATGGGTGATGCGACAACAACAACCTGCTGGGAAGCTGTGCTGGAAAATAAGCTTGGAAGTGCCAAGTTTGACTGCTCGCTCCTTCAGAAACCCACATCAGGAATGGTCAGGTTCATCAGCACAGAGTAACTCCAGATTTAAAACCCTCCTGGGCATAGGCTGCCCTTTGAACAGGCCTCAGGCTCAAGGCTAGTGCTTGCTACATATAAGCTTTTGCTGGTATGGTGATGCCAATAGTGGTAGAGTAGAGTAGAAAACCCACTTGGTGGAGACACAGTGGGTTTTCTTTGCCAGTGGGCACATCTACACGTTCATTAATGTGCTCTAATTACTACACATTTAGTTTAGTACTTTTTTAATGAAATACTAACTGAATGCACAGTAACTAGAGCTACTTCGCAGTTGCGCCAGCGCATGGTTATTTAGTGACACTTACTGTGCATTAGCCTGCTGAGCAGTGTTATTAGGCTATTAGCACAGTTTTTCTCATGACACGCAGTGCTATTAGGCTAATGCGCAGTAAGCGTCTCATGTAGACGTGCCCTGTGTGACTTACAACAGTCCCCTGAAGTAACCTTTAATAGCAAAAGGTTGCTGATATAACTGTACTTCAACTACAACTTTTGCTATTTTAGTTGTGTTAGGCATGGTCAGAAGGGTTAAATTATATTCCTGACTGACTGACAATACCAGCAAAATGCTTAAATTTTGACCAAGCCAAATCTCCCCTCCTGCTGACAGGGAAAGCTAGCTAAATATCCCTCTTCGCCAGAGCTGAGGCATGTGGCGTAGATACTGGAAACGTGACCAAGCGTTTGACTGACACGTGTCTGCAGCAATCCATCCAGCTTGTTTTTATGGCTCAGCAGCTAACTGAGTCCTTCCTCTGAGTTGTACTGAATTTTCCCTGGCCCAGAGGCACCTTAGGACCTGCCTTGCTTCCTCTCTAGTGACCAAAACTTCAAAGAACATTTGTGCTCATAAGCATACAGGCAGAAAAGCAGGCATCAAGACTGTTTCCCTGTCTTGCCTTACATTTTTTTTAACCTGAGGCAACAAGAACCACTCTAGGCTAAAAGGCTAAAATAAAACAAAACAGCTACAAACCAAAGAGACTTAATGTAGTGCCTGAGCAAAAAGCAGCCTCCCTTTAAAACTCTGCCTCAAAAACAAAAGCTTTTATTCCATAATCACTGTGGATACTTTTCTATATCCTGTAACTGGCTCCTCTACAGAGCACTGGGATGCTGCTCCAGCCAGGACTTTTACTGGAATGACCCACCAGTGACACCAGGCTGGACCAGGAGCTGTCTCTGTGTCCAGACCAGTCCTTCCAAAAAAAATGCCTTTGAAACTTGCAAGGGGGGGAAGGAGGGAAGGCTTCTTGGGGCTTCAGATCTGGCACTATTTTCTCTCTCTCCCACAGCACGTAAGATGAACATATTTACCATTAATTATCAAGACCATCTCTGGACTTCAAACAAAAATTGATTTGCATATCACAATGCAATACCTATCTATAGATATGCAATCATAAAAATGATCACTGGAAATGTAGATAAGGAAACTAAAGAGGCTTGAATAAAACATATGAATAGATC